CAGGGGTCCCCCAGTGCCTGGGGTCCCATTTCCAGGGCAGCCCCAGTGCCTGGGGTCCCATTTCCAGGGGTCCCCCAGTGCCTGGGGTCCCATTTCCAGGGCAGCCCCAGTTCCTGGGATCTCATTTCCAGGGCAGCCCCAGTGCCTGGATGCAATTTCCAGGGCAGCCCCAGTGCCTGGGATCCCATTTCCAAGGGAGCCCCAGTGTCTGGATCCCATTTCCAGGGGAGTCCCAGTGCCTGGGATCCCATTTCCAGGGGAGCCCCAGCAGTGCCTGGATCCCATTTCAGGGGTCCCCCAGTGTCTGGATCCCATTTCCAGGAGTCCCCCAGTGCCTGGGACCCCATTTCCAGGGGAGCCCCAGTGCCTGGGATCCCATTTCCAGGGCAGCCCCAGTTCCTGGGATCTCATTTCCAGGGGATCCCATTTCCAGGGATCCCCCAGTTCCTGGGATCCCATTTGCTGTGGACCCCAGTGCCTGGATCCCATTTCCAGGGGATGCAATTTCCAGGGGTCCCCCAGTGCCTGGGGTCCCATTTCCAGGGGTCCCCCAGTTCCTGGGGTCCCATTTCCAGGGAGCCCCCAGTGCCTGGGATCCCATTTCCAAGGGAGCCCCAGTGTCTGGGACCCCATTTCCAGGGGAGCCCCAGTGCCTGGGATCCCATTTCCAGGGGATGCAATTTCCAGGGGAGCCCCAGCAGTGCCTGGATCCCATTTCAGGGGTGCCCCAGTTCCTGGGGTCCCATTTCCAGGGGAGCCCCAGTTCCTGGGGTCCCATTTCCAGGGGAGCCCCAGTTCCTGGGGTCCCATTTCAGGGGTGTTGCTTGCAGGAGTGGTGACGCTGCTGTCGGATTATGAAGTGTGCAAGGAAGGAGATGTTCTCACCCCAGAACAGGCCCGAGTGCTGGTGAGTAACACAGCAGCCCTGACACAAAATAATTCATTAACACATCTCCTAAAACTCAGCAGCAATTATTTTGGTTCCTGCTTTGCTCCACTTCCCCCTGGAAGCAGGATTTACTGTTTTGCTGGGCTGGGCACAGAGACAGTAAAGCAGGAATGATGGATTTGTGTCCTCTCCTAGAAACTCTTTGGCTACGAGATGGCAGAATTTAAAGTCACCATGAAGTTTCTGTGGAATTCTGAGACAGGAGACTTCCAGAAGCTCGTGGGAGATGCAGCAGAGGAGGAGGAAGAGGAGGATGATGATGATGATGACAGCAATGAGGACTAACAGCTTGGCCACCAGACAGTTCTATTTTAGGGACAAAAAGAGGAGAATATTTCCCTTCCCTGGGTACACCTGGACTGGCATGATCTTTATAGAAAATGACCTACCTATGCTTTTTTATATTTATATAAATATCTATGTGAAACTTCAGCTGGTTGTTGCTGCTTCTGTTAGTGATGGTGGAGCCTGGGATCTGAAGAAATGCCAGCTCAAACATGAAAACTGGGCAGGAAGGGTGTAAATGAAATGGAATTTTGATAGAGCACAAAGGGAAATATGCTGAGGTTTGTTATTCTGACACGGAGGAAGATCCTTAGCTCAACCCTTGGAATTTTGCCTTTTCCCTGGCAGTGCCCAAGGCCAGGCTGGATGGGCTTGGAGCACCCTGGGATAGTGGAAGGTGTCCCTGCCCTCGGCAGGGGGTGGAACAAGGTGAGATTTAAGGACTGTCCAAGCCAAACCCTGCTGATATTCTGTGATTCAAAGTCCCGAGTGCTGCCAAAGAGATGCCAGGTTCCAGGCACAGGTCAGAGATGCGTTGTGCACTAGAAAGAGATTTTATTCTTCTATGTAATCATTTAAGATTTCACATTAAAGCAGAACAGGGGCTTCACCTCATTCAGATGTTCATTTTCCTGATCAGCTGCATCCTGAATCACGGGCTGTGCTGAGGGGCTGCCAGGGAGGACAAGGCACGGGTGTGAATCCTACAAAGCTTCACTGATTCAGGAAACCCCCAGAGCCCTCCAGCCGTGGGTGGGAGGGCAGGGTGGGCAGGAGCTGGCCTGAGCCTGTGCCAGGTGTGCCAGGTGTGCCACCCTCCCTCNTATGGGCCTGCTCAAGAGTCAGCAAACCTCACATTTCCCACATCTCTCTTTGCAAACAGCCTTTATCTCAGGCAGCTGCATAGGATAGACAGTCTCCAACAAATGTGGTTCCTGTGTTGAGGAAATTTGTAAGACTTCTCCCCTTTAATTCTTTTTCCAATTATCCACATTTATATATACATTACTGAAAACCAAAGCAAGAAAATGCAGCAAGGTAACTCAGTTGGCTGAAACTGAAAGTGGGTTTGTAGAATAGTTTTGCTCTGGCAAAAAAAAAGGACCTCTGAGCAAAGTAAACTCAATTCCCGTTATAACAGTCTGCCCTGGGTGTTTTCCTGTGGCACGGTGAAATGTTAATTAGCAGCTGTAATTATCAGGGGCTGTCAGAGGAGGGGAGCGGGGCACACGCGGGTGGGAGTGGCCGTGCTGGGCTCTGAGCACGGGGGCTGTCCCTGTCCCTGTCCCTGTCCCCGCCCCTGCCTTGCAGCCTTTCTCCAGGACTGAAATCGTCGGATTTACCATCGGCTCCGTCTCCTCCGTGCTCTACCTGTGCTCCCGAGTGCCCCAGATCTGCACCAACGTGAGTGCCCAGCCTGGGGCTCCTCACCCGTCCCTCCCAGGGGGCTGGGGACTCTCCTTTCTCCCTGGGGGAAGTTCTCCTTTCTCCTCTCTGCTCCAAGGTCCCAGGCCCCATCTCTGATCATTCCATAAGGGACCACTTCTCTGGATTTATTTTTCTCCCCTCCCTTTAACCTAGCAATATTTTGAGGGTGGGGCTTTCATTTTGTCTAATTTACAAGCCAAAGGGGAACTAAAAGACTCCCAGCACTGAGTCACCACTTCTCTTTTTTACTGCTGGGGTGAGCATGATTAATAGCATGATTAAATTAATAGTTGTGGAGAGATTTAGGGGAGCTGCACCCAAGCTCCTCTCCTCTCCCTCTTTTCCCAGTACAAGAGGAAATCCACCAGTGGGGTGTCCTACTCTCTCTTTGCCCTGGTGATGCTGGGCAATTCCCTGTATGGGCTCAGCGTGCTGCTGAAGAACCCAGAGCCAGGCCAGGGCCAAGGTGATTACATCCTGCACCACCTGCCCTGGCTGGTGGGCAGCCTGGGCGTGCTGGCCCTGGATGTGGCTGTATCCTTTCCCCTGGCTGGATCCATCCTGCAGGGAGTGGGATTTAGGGCTGGGCAGGAGGGAGGGTGGTGCTGAGGGTGGTGTGGATCTGNGGTGTTTTCCCTTCTCTCCCAGGGATGCTCCCTTCTTCACCCCCGAGTTCCTCCTTTCCCTCCCTCTGGAGTTGCTCCCTCCACCCCAGGACCCCCTTCTCTCACAGGGTTTCTCCCTTCACCCCAGGACACCCCCCTCTCCCCCAGGGACCCCAGGAGGGCAGGGAGCAGCCCTGTGGGAGCCCCCAGCTCCCCGTGGGTGTCCCCAGCCTGTCCCCTCCCCTCCCCACAGGTGTACACAGCCATTTACTACGTGCTGGCAGACCTGGCCATGCTGTCCCTGTACTGCTACTACCGGGTGAAGAACAGGGGCAGAGCCTGTGAGTTGGGGCACAGGGTGGGGTCTGTGGGAGGGGGGATTCTCTGGGAGCCTGGGAGATTCCAGGCACAGTCAGCAGATGATGCCTCTTGTTGCTTGCTGGGTTGGTGGTTTGGTTTTATTTTTCTTTTTCTCCTTGGATAATTTGAGCCCCTAGGAGAGGCAAAGCCAACAAACCCCTACAGGCTGGGCCTGGGGCTTCTGCAGGCCCTGCAACCCCCACCCACCCACAGTGTCCAGGCTGCAAACAACCCCCCCTGAGCCTCAGGGGGCACAGAATTAAATAAATCCCCCTCAGTTACGTGGTGATTCCACCTCAGAGCTGGGAATCACAGAACTCCTGACTCGGGCAGTGCTGGAAGGGAATGGGGAAGTTTTCCCACTGTTGCAGGGTCAGTGCTCCTGCCTTGACAGGGAGGTTCCTGTCTGTTCAACTGGAGTGAAAAGGGGACCTGAGCAGTTCTTGCAGGGTTTAAACACACAGAGAAAATCCCCTTTCCATCACTGCTGAACCTCAAACAGGCTCCTTGGGACTGGGGTGATTGTTTAACTTAGTAAAGACATATAAAGTTATTGCCAGTTGGTATCTGACCCATCAGATACATGGTTTTGTTAAGCTGGGGAGCTTGAAAATAATCACTAAAATTTACTGAAAAATAATAAATTGCTACTAACAAATAATCCAGGGCAGGGCTTATTTGTTGCTAGGTTTAGGAGTATGAATCCCTGCTCTGGCAAGGATTTGAGAGTGAATTTAAGACAGTGAAATCTTCTAGTGGGGATGATTCTATAGAGCCCTAAACCCAAAGAAACCGAGATAGGAGCAGTTTGCTCCCTGATAAGGCACAAATTGGGCACATCCCTGGCAGATAAATCACACCAGCACCCACAGCAGCCACTGCCCCATCCCCTGGTGAGATAAGGGAGAGATCAGAGGTGGCTCAGTCCTTTGGTGAGATAAGGGGGAGCTTGGAGGTTTCTTCAGCCCAGGAGGGTCCTGGCAGCCCCGGGGCTGTTGGGCTCTCCCTGAGCAGGCTCTGTTTGCTCTCTGCAGTCCCTGCTCCCATCAATGCAGCCTTCGTGTTCCTCTCCGTGGGGGCCCTGCCCAGCCTCTCCCTCCTGGGCAGTGCCAGCCCCGAGGCTCCAGGGGCTTTCAAAGGGAGATCTCTGCTGTCAGCTCCTGGGGATGAGCTTGGACCAAAGGTGAGCCAGTTCCTAAACCTGGCAGATGGGAGAAAGCTCTGGGTGGGGATGCCCTGCTGGGTGCTGGGATCCCAGAAACCCACCCTGCACCCCAGCACGTGTGTTGGGGTTAGGGGCTGTTCCTGCTTTAGGGCCAAATTGTTCTCCAGGAGACTGATAGAGTCTAGGAAGATGGCACTTTTCCAAAGATTCCTCCAAAATTCAGGAACAGTTTGCTGCAGGATTTCAGACATTTCAGGGCATTTTCACTTCAAACTTCAAGCACTTCTATGGGCCTGCTCAAGAGTCAGCAAACCTCACATTTCCCACATCTCTCTTTGCAAACAGCCTTTATCTCAGGCAGCTGCATAGGATNAAGGGGGTTTGCAGTGATAATCAAAACAAATGCAGTTTTATTGAAATAGCCACAGCAGAAATGTGGTAGAGGGATTAAGGGAGAGAAAAAGATAGAGGTAGGGAGAGGATATAGCTACCAACGCAGAGACAAAGTCCTTTGGTCCAGTCCAGCCGAGGGTCTGCCTGCTACGCTGGGGAGATCTCAAAGGCTCTAGCTAACTCAGAGGTTTTTATTACTGAAAATTATGGGGGGGGTGAAACAGATACAATAGGGGACAGATGTAACCGGTAGTCCATGTTCTCAACAGTAAATGAGAGCCATTGTGTTCTCCATCCAGTGGTCACAGCCTGCAGGCCAACATCTCACTTTGGTCAGCTTTGGTCCCCCACACACCTCCCCTGGGCTGGGGGTTTCAGTCCCAGTCCTTGGAAGGAGCAGAGGGGCCTTTTAGGAGTTTCATGTCTCAGTCCTTGATGAGAGGCTCCTTACATCCCAGTCTGTCTGCCCCGGTGGTTGTAAAACAGGTGAGGCTCTTCTGTGGGAGACCACCTGAAACTCAGGAGAGTCCAGCCAGGCCGAGAGCTGGGACAGCTCCCAAGGCTGTTGTTGCAAATGGGGCATGGTGCCCCTTCTTAGCATACAGCAAACACACTTGTGAAAACAATAGCTCAACACTGAGCTTTCAGGTCTCAGGGCCTTGTTGGCATGTGACTTTTCTCCTTCAGAGCCACATATTCTAGACAGGAGGGGTCTTCTCTTCAGTGGTGCCCCAATGACAATCGTGAGGCAGATGAGGGAAAATTCAGACAGACTCTCACAGGAGGCCGTGCCCCAGTCCCTGTGTGAGCCCAGGGCTGTTCCTGCCCCAGCTGAAGCTCCTGTTGCCCCCCTGTGTCCCAGGTGGTTCTCCAGGTTCCGGGAGCTGGACTTTGCCCGTGCTGGGAACAAGGCTCCCTACGGGGTCAGCCTGGACACGGGGCCCCTGGAGCAGTTCCCCCACTCCATGGAGCCGCAGCTGCGGCAGCTGGGGCTGCCCACGGCGCTGAAGAAAGGTACAGCAGGGCCAGGCTGGGGTGGCCGTGCTCCTGGGGACACTGAGGGACACTGCTACACACACAGCAGCTTTGGGGCTGGAGAAAACTGAGGGACACCTTTGTCCTTGTTGGGCTGGGGCTGGAACTCCTTCTGTCCTTGTGCTGTTGTTCCCAAACTCATGTCAGAGGCTGAGTAAAGACCCCAGATTTCTGCAGAATGCCGTCCCATTCCAGCAGAAACAGCTCAGAACCCACTCAGGAACCAGGGGTGGGGTTCTGGAGCTGATCTCTCTCCTTGGGGTGCTCTGATGCTGCATGGGAAGGTGTCAGCTCCAAGGGGTGGNGTGCCCCTTCTTAGCATACAGCAAACACACTTGTGAAAACAATAGCTCAACACTGAGCTTTCAGGTCTCAGGGCCTTGTTGGCATGTGACTTTTCTCCTTCAGAGCCACATATTCTAGACAGGAGGGGTCTTCTCTTCAGTGGTGCCCCAATGACAATCGTGAGGCAGATGAGGGAAAATTCAGACAGACTCTCACAGGAGGCCGTGCCCCAGTCCCTGTGTGAGCCCAGGGCTGTTCCTGCCCCAGCTGAAGCTCCTGTTGCCCCCCTGTGTCCCAGGTGGTTCTCCAGGTTCCGGGAGCTGGACTTTGCCCGTGCTGGGAACAAGGCTCCCTACGGGGTCAGCCTGGACACGGGGCCCCTGGAGCAGTTCCCCCACTCCATGGAGCCGCAGCTGCGGCAGCTGGGGCTGCCCACGGCGCTGAAGAAAGGTACAGCAGGGCCAGGCTGGGGTGGCCGTGCTCCTGGGGACACTGAGGGACACTGCTACACACACAGCAGCTTTGGGGCTGGAGAAAACTGAGGGACACCTTTGTCCTTGTTGGGCTGGGGCTGGAACTCCTTCTGTCCTTGTGCTGTTGTTCCCAAACTCATGTCAGAGGCTGAGTAAAGACCCCAGATTTCTGCAGAATGCCGTCCCATTCCAGCAGAAACAGCTCAGAACCCACTCAGGAACCAGGGGTGGGGTTCTGGAGCTGATCTCTCTCCTTGGGGTGCTCTGATGCTGCATGGGAAGGTGTCAGCTCCAAGGGGTGGTGGAGAGAGTGCTGGCTCTGCCCCCACATTCCAGGGGAGCCCCAGCAGTGCCTGGGATCCCATTTCAGGGGTCCCCCAGTGCCTGGGGTCCCATTTCCAGGGCAGCCCCAGTGCCTGGGGTCCCATTTCCAGGGGTCCCCCAGTGCCTGGGGTCCCATTT